CCCAGACGATTTTTTTTTTTTGGGTGCAATTATGACTCTTTTTCGTGCGGTTTCTTCAACCGTAGACCTTTGGAAACCAAGAAGAATCATCATAACACCAATGGGGCAATATTTCTTTTCCAGCCTCTTTAAGTCAAGTCACTAAGGCCCAACCGTTCCTCTATTTTAATTATTGTGACCGTTCGGCATACTGGAGGTTACTACTTTTGTTTCTATAATTGTTGCTGGTCACTCTTTTGCTATAAATATTTTATTATGTCCTATTTGTTTGACTTTTCATTTTATTTTATATTTTCCAAAATAAAAAACAAAGAAAGAGGAGTGGGGAGTGGGGTTAAGGTAACTGTCTACTAACTACAAAATAAATAAATAATTAAAATAACTAAACTAAATCCTAAATAGTGCCTAATTATCTGCATCAAATATTTTAGGCTTTGTCAGGTCGTAGCACATGCACAACAGATGGTATCGCCATCTTCCCTCCTTTGTTATTGTGTGATTGTGAGACTGATAAGTTATATGAGTGAAAATGTTAACAGCACAGGCACATGATGTAACACCTATCCCTTATATTAGTAGAGTTATTCTATTTAATCTTGAACCACTAGAAGTCAGGTTTCATCCTGAGAAAAGACAATTTTTTTTTTAACCATTCCCAAACACAAGGTTTGATCCGGTTTAAGGAATGGGATTTTCTAAAAAAGTTCAAACTTTTCAAAAACTCACTTTCAAAATAATATGTCTAGTGGTTCAAGTACTCCATTTAACTCTTTTTACAAAAACGGCAAAAACAGTTTAAGACTCAGGGTTCGCATTCAACCACCAAACCCATTCTTTTTCCATCCAACCATTTGAATTCTGTATTGAGTCAACTATAGCCAGTAGAGTTTAACATTCAATACCCTGGCCATTGGCTCATACAATAGGGTACATATACAGACACACACAATTCTAGACATAATAATAACTATATATCAAAATATTGGCCATTTCCTTCAATAAAAACTATTATAATTTATCTGCCCTTAGCCACCTCCTTATGGAGGAACATTTATGTATCAAAATATATATATTATATCTTCACTCTAAAATAAGATGCATTTTAGGCAAAATATATATACAAAGATCTTCAGCTTCCTTCACATTCAAGCTTCAACAATCACTAATCTCTTGCCCTTAGAAGTACTTGCTCTTGCTGTATTACATGGAAGAAGAGGTGAGATTATAAAGAATCTCAGTAGTAACAAATTTCCTTTATGTAATCATATAAGATTACAAACAACATGCTACACAGGCCAAAGAGAACAATACCTTGCATCCGAATATAATCAAAGATGCACATACACCATACACCCATAGAGCCAGTTGCTAACTATCGCGCCCACATTCCAAAATAAATGAAACCAGCACATATTGTCATGACAAATAATATCATGCAAAGGCAACTTACATGTTTTCATGCACAATTAGCATAACAGTACATCTAAGCATGTGGCAATCAATGCACAATCACATGAAAGGAAAAAAAAATTACTACCTCTTGTTTTTTCTTCCATGCTCCCTTCCCCTTGTTTCCTTCTTGGCTCCTTTCTTAATGGACTCAAACAAATATCAAATCCTATAAATTATTTAAGCAAGGACAGATATATATATACACACACATACATATCTAAATATTCATCTAGAGTGTTACATTAACACATTCCTTATAATTTAAATCCTTTACGATCATTTTAACAAGGGCATTACATTTAACTTCCATCCTCTTAAGACTTTTTTTTTTTTCCTTTACATACATATCTATAATATAAACATTTGTATAAGTCTATAAACTTCCCATTTAAGCATTTTGCATTTAGACACCTCAAACACCTACTATAATTCGAACAGCCCCATTCTGCCACTGTTTCTAAATTTTTCCAGCATCAACCTTCAACTAAAATATTATTTTTGACTCCTCATTATATATATTCACCCTCTGGCCTCTACATCTTTCCTTCAAAACTTCCAAATTGCTTTATCAATCATATATACATAATTAATACCATGTGATTTAGTTTCAGCCCTCACATTCTAACATCAACGTTGCTGAAATAAGCATCAAACATATACATACATATCATGCTTTAATTAGTTCCCAATCTCAACAATTTCTTCTCTTATGAAAATTCCAGATTTTGGCATCACTTTTCCATTTCTAAACCCAAGAAAATCTGTTCACTTTAATTCAGAACATGGAACCAAAACTAAAAGAGAACATAAACAGCTCAATTGCAAGTCAACTTCTTTCCCCCAATGCTTCGGTCTCAACAGGCTAACTTGTTTAATATATATATATATATATATATATATATATATATATATATATATATATATATAGCTTATGCATTTAGCATTCGAGTGCTTCTTGACCAACAAAAATCGAACAGCTTCCTTCCATCATCAATTCTGGAATTTTCCTTATTCAAAGCACACACTCTCCAATCCCTTAATAAGCACATGGAGCTTATAAAATCAACATATTATAAGCATGCAGCCAGAAAATAATTATTTATATTTAGACCTCGTTAAACATCTATTACCCAAAACAGAAGCCATTTCCTTAAATCGTTAAACTCTTGTTTCGGTAACCATAAACCAGAGCAGTCAACCATAAAAGCAAGGACAGAAATCCCAACCACAATCTCCATTCTAACCATTAAACACGATTTCTATAGCTTGGCACTCATGCTCTTCACTTTCTCTCTCAAAAACCAGATTTTACTTCATCATCATCCTGCAATACATGCCCAAATAATAGAAAACAAAGATGGAAGAAGATTCAGGAGACTCACCTTGCTTGATTTCCACCTTTGTATGACCCGATTTCCTCCTCCGACTACCTTTCCACTTCTTGATCTCTCTCGAACTCTCTCAGCTCTCTCTGTTTTCACTTTGAACCGCAGAGGAAAAAATGAGAAGGGAGAAGGTGTTAGGACAGATTAAATAGGTGAGGGATGTGAAATGACCATTATGCCCTTTGGTCTTTATTTGTCTTCAATTTGATCCTTCTCTATTTTTCTAGGATAATCAAATAATTCCAGAAATCAAACCTGGATATTTTATGCGAATTTTCTTCTTCCATTAGCTTCTTTAGTCCATAAAATAATAATCCTAAAATTTTTAGCTCAAAAATAATCCTCTCACTATCTTTCTTGAATTTTTCAAGAAAATAGGTCCTAAATTCCTAAAACTAGCTTTGTAATTATTCAGACTGTATTTTGAGGATTTTAATCTCAAAAATTTCTCTCAATCATGCTTTAATTAAATCCATAAAATTTGGGATATTACATATGATCTAATTACCCTCTTTATTACAAAGTACCAAGAGAGAATATAGAGAAAATGGAAAATGAGAGAAAAGATAGAGTACATTTCAAATTCACCGCCCCATTCTTTGTGAAACGCTCTCACTAAGTTCTTTAAAAACTTTACAGAGTAAAATATTAGGCATGGAACTTTAACTTTTCAAATTCTTTTACAGCGAATTTTATAAAGCGAATTTGCCAGTCTGGTGAGGGATTAATTTTGATAGCTAATTTCACAATATCTCTCACTTCACCTATGGAGAATATATATATATATATATATATGCTTTTTGGTGACAAGAATATAAACACACACACACACGAATCTTAATACAAAGGGAATGTTATAGGAAAGAGTGACCTACAGTAGAAAAAACAAAGGAAGGAGAAAAGGTTATTAAAAAAAAACATGTATGATTAAATGATTATTGCAAGGGAATGAGAGTGAATAAACACTTTTGAGAGATTATTTTACTTACCTTAATATTAATCTTTTGCACCAAGTTCAACTTCGTATTAATATAAGTGCTCTGTTTTTTTTTTTTTGGCATAGAAGTTGTATACTTCGCGCCCGATATGTTAATGTAAAAGTTTATTTTCCCCTAGATTGCCATAATTGTTAATGTCTTCACTCCTCATGAAGAAAATATCAGCAACAATATTATTGAAGGCGGGAGGTTTATGATGATGGCTATTTCATCAAAGGGTAATAAACAGATCAAATCTATTAATTTGATCACAACAAATCTGAAAACTAAATAATTCAACATTGGTCACATTTGATAGTGTCATTGTCTAAAATTTACAGAGACATATCCTTAATATATTATGTTTGATCTCCTTAACAATGATGAAACATCTCTTATGGGAAAGTTGGTGGCAGCATGGCGTTGAGAATCCTAGATTGTCAGAGTTTGTGCTAAAGCAGCCTTAATCTGTCATAAAAATTAAGTGCTTAAGTTGTTGTAATTCTAAAGAATGCGTAATATATACACATACAATTTAAGGGATGTGATATACCCCAGCTCCATTGCTTTGGCTGGTGATTCATCAGATTCAGATTGTGGCTGGCTTAGCTGAAGATGGATAGTGCATGTGGGATTAGGATTCCCATATTCCTCATTCACAACCCTTGCTTCAGAAATCTAAGGAAAGGGGCGGGGACGAAGTCTGTGAAAACTTTGAAGGAAAACTTGAAACATTTAGCTTTTAAATAAGTAATACACGCTCACTATATAGATGATGTCTTCCTCTTGCCTCCTTTGTTGTTGTGGAATTGAAGGCAACCTTCTTGATCTGTAGTACATTTTATTACATGATTTAATTCGATAAATGTGTTTTATCAACTCACCTTTGTCTGTAATTCTGCATTTTCTTTACTAATGGCTTCTATTGTTTTGTGGAGTTGAACATTTTGTTGGCGAATTTCATGTCCCTGAAATAGAATAAATAAGTTATTCAGAAATTGTGGGGAGTCCTTTCTTACATGGTGGCAAGATCAGAACCAGAATTCTTGAATACATTGTGTTGTAACTCTTTAATCTCATCGGTTAAAATTTGCTCCTACAGACAAATTAATGATCAAGTTCAGGTTATTATCATATATATTTGCTACATGCTAAATTGAATGCAGATATGAATCGAAATTATCTATCATACCTTCTTGATCTGGACATTTTTTAACCTCATCTCTAGTTGATTTTCCAAAGTTTTCAATTCATTAACTCCCAAACCAGAAAGTTCTTCTCCCGCAACTCGCCTACATGTCGAAAAGGAAGTAAGTTCCTTCTGGTTTACTAAATTGTTTCATTTATTTTCAGAATACATTATAGGGGGAAAAAATCGGAACATATTGCATTTAATTTTGAAGAGATTGTATGATAGTTGAGCGAGTTCAACATTTTGTACCTGTGCAATTCCTGCAACTGTTGAAGTTCTTGCCTCAAGATCGTTGCTTCTCTCTGCCAAAACTAACAAGTGCAGCCACAGAAATAACTGTTACATTCAATAAGGAGTGATGCAATGGAAGAAGGTATGAGAAAAGTAGTAATTCGTTTATTATATTTGGAGATGGATGGAGTATGTGATAGGGGGATTTAGTGGAACTAATAGGGGTAGTTTTATGACAACTTTGATTCTTTAACGACTGTTCGATTACTTTTATTAATACATGAAAATTAGTTAGACATGACACATATATTTAAGATTTAAAAAGGAGTGTATTAAAGGACCATAAAGACCTTTGTAGGATGTAACTTATGACACTCCCTCAATTTCTATCTACAAGATAAGATTTCGTAGGGCTTGTACCAGTGTAGAACTAGAAAAATAGAAGTTTAAGACATGAATTAATTTAGCTTAACTTGTGTCTGAGAATTAGGTAATTTTATCCTTTAATCAATAGAAATGGAGGGAGTAATAGATACCAAAAGAACAAAATAGGAGGTTGTATGAAAGGTCATAACAGAGGGCGCAGAGGTTTGTGTTTCGGATTGTGTATTACTCCCTTCGGTCCTCTTATAAGTAACAACCACCCAAATCACACAAATAAAAATGCTAGTTAGACATGATTAGAAGCCAAAAATGTGTAAGGGATACTCCTCTGATCCTATTTAAAGGGTAAAGAGAGAAGACATTTTTTGATAATATTTCTAGGGCATTAAGAGAAATTTTTTGTATGAGTGTATAATTTTACTCTTCATTTATTATTGTGTTAACTTTGTTCACATGAGGTATAATGTACATTAAATAGGAATAAAGTTAAAAAGTTATTGAATTTTAAATGATAGTTAATGAAATTTAAGATTTTTCTTGGTCTGTATAACATATGTTGGAAGTTACTTATAAATAGGATTAGAGGAGTATAATTTTTGTTCAAGAACACCTTCATCAGAGAAAATGAGTGGAAAAAAGAAATGAGATAAACATGCAATTAACTGGATGTAGAAATGAAAAAATTGCATTAAATTGTTAGACAAACCCAAATTGTTACTTATACATAAGACCCACCCTATGTGAGAAAATGTTTCTTATAAAGAAAGGCCAGACAGAGTACATAAAAAAGGACTGGTTCTATGAATAAACCACTTCTAACTTCCTAATCAAAACTAAGAAAAGGTAGTTAGATCATCAGTATTGCTTAAAAAAATGTAAACTATACTTTCCAGTTTACTCTATTAAATGCATCATATCTCTAACAACAATCATATGTTGTTTAAGTCAGTTGGGAACACATGTTGGTTTAGTCAGTTGCTTTGCTGAGACGTTTGTGTGTTTACAAGTGTGGCCAATGAGTATGGATGTGTAACTTGAAAATTCAATACATAGAATGCAGTTCTTTGTCTCTTCTCTCATGTTTCCTTTACCTCTGTTTCTCTCTAAACCACTTCAGTTTCTATGGTAATATCATTAGATCATGTATTTGATTTGGTGCTTCCCTTATAGTTTCTAAGTCTCATATTTTTTCCCTCTATGGTAGAATTAATGTTTCCATTTTTCTATAGTTTTTCTCTTGCTTCTAAATCCTCCCCTCCCTTTTATTTCTCTCTTTCTGTTGTGTAATCATGCTTGGAGTTAAATATAAAATGTGCTGACAATTGCAAATATATATATATATATAAACTAACAATGAGAATTATATATGATTTATGAATTTCTAGTAACTACACATGACTTTTATGCAGAAATTTGACCTCAAAAACACTCAGTATACCTTGGCTTCTGAAGCTGGATTCACAAGCGGATTGTGTTCGTGATCTTTCTGTTTATTATAGCGGTCAATAATTGACTCCACGCTGCCATAAATCAAGCAGATGGATATCAAGTTTATGTAAATATCTGTAATGCAATCCTTTATTGTACCCTGAATATATGTTTCAGATAACATTTTAAGTGATTTGACTCTGAAAAAACTTTATTTCCTTCCTATACATTTAGATCCACTTAGCCTAACAAGCCTTAAACATACTTTTTGACCCAAAATAACAAAAAACAACATGAATAAATATTCATTCAGATATGTATATACATATGTATATGTATGCATCATAATTCATTCAATAATATTAGAAGACTGTGTTAAATCAAACAACGAGATCATTGTGCCCATACACTTGTATAATACAACGTTTTACTCTAAGGTCACTTATCAGAGCTATTCGGCCATTTAAGAATCACTTGTGGCCCATTATTTAGTGTACCCTGAAAAGACCAAAAATTTTAAAACTTTTTCTAAAAGTTGGATGTTACGCATAGGAAGCGCTTCTCAAACATTTAAACATTTAAACAAACATCCTAAAATTTCTTAAAAAGTTTTTTTTTTGGTTGAGAAAAATAAGCTGTTCTTTTCACTAAATGAGCTGAAACAAATAGACCCCTATTGGGATAAGTATTATTGTGCACAACACATATATCCGCATAAGATATTGTTCATAATATAAATAATACTAACCCTATTCCTATTATAAGTCACATTCTATCAGTTTCTATAGTCCAACGTGTATCTCGTGCTACAAAATATCTAGAGCATTTTTAGATGTATCACCATCATCTGGCAAGACTAAACTCAAAGTTAATTAAATACAAATTAGTTAGCCCAAAGGTAATTAGGGCATATTTGTAAAGATTGTCGTTATAATTTCTTATGATATCTAGCTCTAAATAAAAGATCTAGTTTGTGGGGTAATTCGCACTTGTACTTGTAATGCCAAGAAAAGACTTTTCTGTTGGCTAAGATGATGACTCTTTTTATGTATTTCAAGTTTGGGCTTATGCTTTTCGTAGGGTAGAAATCCAAATTGTTCACAGAAGATCCTAAATCTTTCCTTTTTTGGGCTTATTCTTTAGCTAGTTGGTGGTTTATTTTATCATCTCGGCAAATTTTTAGGGCAACCTTTTGAGCATGAGATATGAGCTGTCCATAGCTTAGATAGATGTTCATATGGAATTGTTCCATTTGTGTTTGACGTGGATTACAAACTAGATTTTATCTTTAAGCCTGGAGGCAGTATTGAATAAGAATTAGTTATTAAAGGTTCATTCAAAACTTTGATGCTCTGATTGATTGGAAGAAACTACCAAATACTGCATTGTTTTTATCCATTTGTAAATTTAGCTTCAATTATCTCTAAGTACCGCTAACCCAGGCCATGTTCAATCAGAAGATTGTAGTTTGAAATCTTTTATTTATCATATGTTGCATATATACTATCTCATGCACAGCTTTTTAAAGTTTTATTTATAACCGAAGCTAGGTTTTATTAATGACCTGTAAAAAGAACACAAGCGAGAGAAAAGGCGACAAACAAGAATTAATGAAAGATCAACCAGCAGAACGAGTAGTTTCTGATATTATTCTATCAAACCTATAGGCAACCATATAATTGAGAGGAGAAAAAGAATAGTTAAACAGACAAATCTAGAGCATCATTTAAAAGCTTGTAGATACTCTTATACTATCTCTGATCCTAATTATAAGACCTTGTTTGTAATCTACAAATGAAGTCTTATAATTAGAATAGGAGGTAGTGTGTGTGTGTACACGCAAGCAGGAAGATATAAGAAAATGGATAAAGTATATTTCTTCTATAGTACCAAGAACCACACTGTATATCTGACCGGATATCATCACATTTTATGTTGGGATGATTCAAAAAGGGAAAAAAAGAAAAAAAGAAAAGAAGCAGATCTAAAGGCAGATCAATTACTTCGATCAAAAGGAGACAGAAGCACAGATATTCTTAGTACTACTAAGGTGGGAACAATTGCAACCTAGGATTTGAGGCCTCGAATATACCTCCCTCTAATACTCTTTATGGTGGTGGTGATGATGATGGTATTATTATTATTATTAAGAAGGTGGGAACAAAGAGGAACGTAGGGTTTGGAACCTCTAATGATACCCCCCCAAAAAAAAAAAAACTAATGCTCTTGGTGATATGATGATGATGATGAGCATAAGAGGAACCTGGAGCTCCCATATTCATAGAGTCTGCCAGTGCTAGAGAACACAAGCACCCCAACTTGTGCGTCGCAGAGGATCGCGAGCTCTCTTGCTTTCTTAAGCAACCCACTTCGTCTCTTTGAGAAAGTGACTTGCCTGTTTGCTGAATCCTCTATCCTCTTAATCTCAATCTTTGCTTTCCCCATTACTACAACTTGGCCTGTCAGATCAGCCACACAAAACAATATTCATCAAATTAATGGCATTCTTAACCATAGATAAAACTGCAAAAATAAATAAATAATGAGAAAAATAATAAAAATTGTAATAAACAGCGCATATGTGTGTGCAGTCGGCAAGCCGGAACTCACAGAGCAATTGAGGAAGACGAAGAAACAGAAGGAGGAGGAGACTAGGTTCTTTGGTAATGTCCTAATGAGAGAGGCTTTTTGATGAGCGGTGCCCTTTGAATTCTTATATTTGCAAAGCGTCATGTGGGTTAAAAAAAACAAAAACGGTTTCTGGTTTTTCGGTAAATGAAAAAACCGCTAGTGGTTTTCTTTTAAAGGAATTGGCCATTGGTCCCAAACCAAACGCGTTCAAGTTTGGATTAGGTTGACCGTCAGAGAAATCCCCAAAAGTGGATTTTTTTATATTCTTTTATATAACAGGCGTTTTTTGATTTTGGTTACTTAAATTTAAACTCATGGTTTTATTAAATTTAGTTTGTCTTAAAATGTTAGTCACTGAAAATGCAACTCATCCATGATGTTAAAAGTGGTAATCTGTGCTTACTAGATGGCACTTAATTGGATTTTGTATGGACAATGGAATGTAACATAGTGAATAGCTCCTGAAACAAACAGCGAGGAAGAAAAAATGGGGGCCCAAAAATTGTGTTTGAGGATCGGTTCTTTTTTTTCTTTTTGTTATCTACATAAGATCTAGTTATTTGCCATCCGGTGAGTCCATGTCATCACTTTAATACTATTTATAACATTAGTAGATTTTAATACCATTACACCTATGACGACTAACGTTTTAAAACAGATTAAAATCATAGATTTAAAATTTAATGAACTAAACCTTAAATAGGTCTAAATTTACGGATTAAAAATTATATCAACCATAATCAGAAGAAAATAAAAAAGCCATATTTCCATTCTCAAGTCAGCACAGTCAACCCGCTGTAGATTAAATGTTAACAAATGCTTCTTAGGTCCTTTAACATAACAAATCCTCAAAATAAGACCCGAAAAATTGCAATTTAATCCTTTTAAGCATTCGATTATTTCACGAATATATATGGCATTAATTCATTGATTAATATTACTAATCCTTTTAAGCCTATGAATAATCATGTCCGCTATGGCTTCTAATAAGATAATCTTATCTATTCAGTAACTACTGAATTTTAAGTCTTATATATAAGCCTAACATCAAGGAAAACTCTGACAATTAAATGATGAGTAGTAAGAGTTTGGGTTCTTAAAGCAAACGGTTAGGGATTCAATTTTTTATTTTTCTGTATGAAGCAAATATGATATGCTCTTTGCCAACGAAATTTAGACAACATGGTCACCGTAAGATTTTCTATATATCTCAACAGAAACATCAACATCAACATTAACTTCTCCAAACCTATCAATTAAAAAAAAAATCAAATCAAAAGTTCAGCTACGTACGTACGGAGCTAGCGTAAATAAATGTTCAAAATTCAAATCATCATAACATAAAAAATAATGGAATCTCATACCCTAGCTTTGAATATTTAGTAGCTAGACTACCTAAACGAAAGAGTGGCAATTTAAAAACTAATCAAGAAGATAATGAAATATTCATTATATTTCACGAGGTCACAATATAAATACCCAAGGGGGAGGTTTGGAATTACTTGGCTATTCGTTATGAATAGCCAAGTGTCAATCATCAACAAATGATGGACATATGGTTAAAATGTGTCGTCCTAGTTTCGTAAGACTAATATCTTTTATATTATTCCAACAACGGAGATTCACACATTCTATATACCCTCCCTCTAGTTCTTAAGAGAATTTTAGGAGGAAACAACAATCTTTTATTTAAATTATTTATTATAGTTTTTTCTATCCTTGTTAGTGGGAATATTTATAAGCAACACCAAAGTGTTTATTATATTACACATTATTAAGGGAGAATTTCAAACACAAAACTTTTGAATTTCAAAATATCAAATCAGTCTTGTTTAGTGCACTTTAATAATATCACAACATATTTTTTTAGTCATTACTAATTTGAGATTTTAAAATTTTAGAAGTATTTTTTTGGAAATTTTTCCAATTATTAACGTGGTATTTTTTTCCACAAAGGAATTTAAATTTATAACATATTTATTGATTCTAATTATTTTTAAATAAAAGTACGGGAGACAGTAGTTACTGTTGCATGTTGTTGTCCAACTTGCCTCATCCCCCTTTTTAATTAGTAATTAGCAAAAAGTAGACTGACAACAACTTGCCTGCTACAAATAATATATTATTCGTTCGTTTGCGTTCACATTGAGAATCTGACAATTTGTTTCTCGGTTTAAACAATCCTAGATTAATCTTTGTTATCTAAATTTCTCGTGCATCTCTAGTAAAAACATAATTTAAGAGATCCGCCATGATGGAACTGTGAAGAATAGAATCAGAACCCGTTAAAGCGAGTTTCATAGCAGAAACACACAGCTTTATGTTGGTTTTGGCCATATATGGTTTAAAGAGTTTCTCCATTTTACTCATTTTAAATAAGAAATATTAAGAGTGGCTAGTTTTCGATCTCTTTCTTTCCTCTTCATTTCATTATGTTTTGTATTATTATGGCTGGTAGTCATATCCGGTGTGTCAAATAATATATGTTTCAAATATGGGTCAAACATGAAAAGTTGAGGCATATACATGAGCTAAATGAGATACTAGAGTTCAAGTGAATCCAAGTATGAGAGAAAAGTCTAGTTGAGATAAAAAAACATAATTTTAAAAAAAATTTGCAAACAAAATAAGTATAGAAAGTTTGCTCAAAAATTTAGGAAAAAAATCAGGAACTTAAGAAAATTAGTAAAGAGGTTTTCAAGATAATTTTGAGATTTAAAAGGGGTATCGATAATGAGAATGTTCCACAAAGTGGGAAAGTGAATAAAAAGCCCATTCTTGGCTAATTAAGTAGTACTTAGCCAAAATTCATAATTTTTAAAATCATGTAAAGGTCCCCGAATAATTAGAAAAAATTTGCAATAATTAATTTTGGGGGAGAATTGTTTCCCAAGAGTGGAATATTATATTCGAAGTTTAACTTATTTTTGGAATTTAAAATGCAATTTCCCAAAAATTAAAACAAAAATAGGCAGGGGTCAAATTTTAAGCTGAAAAAAACTAGATAAATTCTTTTTATGAGGAGAATGAATTTTTGGAAGAGATACATGGATTTTATTTGTTAGAAAAGTAATTATAAAATTTAATTCCATATATATCAAGAAATAGTCGAAAAATTCCAACATAAATCCAAAATTTATAAAAACTAATATCCAAGGCCAGATTCCCGAAGATAAAACTGTGGCCTATTTTAAGAAAGGAAGGACCATATGTATAGACCTAGTCATTTTACCAAATGATGCTCAATTTATAACATAATGTATTAACCTCGCTAAAATAATAATTATTAATCGACCAAACTAGCTTTCAGAAACTTGAACTTGTCTGTTTGCTGAGCTATGTTTATTTCTTCCTCTTAGGCAGATTTCTTTTTCTTTTCTTCATCTGATATTGCGTTTTGCTTAACGAACTTGAGAAAAAATGAGAGCTTTGTGCTGCTCGGTTGGCTCAATATATAATTACACTGCCTGATTCAGCCTGCGTGCTTACAGAATCAAGGCTATATTGATGTAACCCATTGATTCTACATTGTAGATGTTTAAATGGGCTAAATCATGCCGGCAAATTTGGGGTTTTTAGTTTGATTATATAAGAAAATTTGTGTTTTGGAAGTATTACAAGGGCTTTATTGATCCATGAAATTTACTGTTTATACACAAGTCTTGACGCACTGCTTATGATGTGATTACCACTGACATTATTTTCTCACTTGCTGAGCGTTTTATGGCAGTAGATATTCAATGTGCATATTTAGTATCTATTCTTGGACAATCGACTGGGCATGCTCAAGATGACTTCTATAGATTCAGCTGAACAGTTTTAATCCCCAACAACAAGATTTTATAATGAGCTATGAAAAAACTGACTCTCATGCCACTTATTATTGTTTAGCCATTTAAGAAGTACCTTTGAAAACTGAAAAATTTTAAACCTTTGATTAATACGTTGGTTACTATTCACTGTATTAGAATGGGATTTTCTGAGAAACACTGAGAATCCATAACTAATTCAATTTAGTTCCAAATTTAGTGGTTCATAGGTCTTTATTTAGATTTTGAAAAGCACTTTCAAAGAAAAATAATTCTCAATTAAACTTTTGACCCGTTTCTGCCAAAAGACTCCCATTACTCAAATCTGGACAGCGCATTTTTGCGGAATTTTTCTGATTTCCAGGTCAAGTTTGAAAACTCATCTCTTTAGGACCCATTTGGAATAGCAGTTTTTCAATCATGATTTACAAAATATGAGATAAGTATATGAGAGAAGTTTTATCTTGACTTACGTGAAATGTGCTTATAAGTGATTCTAATCAAGCGCATATACGAGCTACCCCCACTAATTCTGAAGGATCATTTGCCATGTTCTCATCATTTGGCTAATGCTAGCCTTCCTTCTCCTCATTATGGAGGTTAGATACATACCATTACATAAATTCAGTCACAACAACTTAAACGAATATATAAAACGGCCACTTAATATAATCAACATTAACAAAATCAAAGCAAACTTTTTAAGAACTTCCACCTTCAAACTTCCTCCACTAGCTTGCTCTTCCCTTTAAAAGTACTTGCTCCTATTCTAGGCACATGGAAGAAATTAGGGGTGATAATTTGGGAGAATCTTAATAGCAATCAATTTCTCAATGTCATTCATGCTGATAAGTCACACAAAGAACAATACCTTACTTTGATGAACTAAGTAATGCACATGGCCACGGCAACAAATTGAGCCAGAAATTTACATATTCTCATGCTTATTAACTACAGCAAGTAGGGTTGCGCATATAACCTGGAACCCGGTCTGACTTAACCTAA